TAATGGTAATAGCTCTCCTCATCTCCATCAGACTCTACTCTCTCATTTTTGAATGTGGACAAATAGCATTTTCTTGATACATTCAAACTCTATTGGCTCCCTTAATATCTTGTTATGCACAGGTAATTTCTAGAAGTCCTTCCTAATTTAGATTCTAATATAGGTATGATAAATATGATAAATGTGGCACAGACAGTTGGTTCTACAGGAGCTCAGAGGAAAAAGTGAACATTGAGAGTGATGGGCATTGGGTTACATTCCTAAGTCAGGTAAGAATTAAATGATTTCAGAATTAAAATAGGATAAATAGTAGAAAGTATATTCTGGAAAGAGACACAGAAAGAAAAGCCCATGGGAAACCTCAGGGAGAGTGAAAAAATTAACTGGAGTAGAGGAACAGAGTGAAGTCCAAGAAGTTAGAGCTGGGTCAAACAGGATGAGTTAGATTGAATGCCATGCCAAGGATTCTGGGTTCTCCTCATCATTGTCAGCAGATGACAAAGGAATTGTGCTGAGGTGAGGAAATGAGAGGTGATACTAAGTGCCATTTTAGGCCCATGTAATAACAACTACCTATAGGACACCACACTATTAACCAATAACAAATATTAAGTTTTCCTTGTATGAGCACTTCCATTCTGTTACCATGCTATATGTGGTCTTTTTGTTCTCTTCCTTTATTGCTCTTCAATTAAAGGAGTTTCACAAATATTGGGGCCTTGAATATGATCAAGACAGTAGCATTCTTGTTGATCTTTGGGTTAGACAAAGTCACTGAAGTCCAATAAGAATATATCCAGACAGCCACCAGCAGTCAAGGGAAATAATAGCTCAAAAGAAATAGAGGGAGCTCAGGGGCAAACCAGAATTGTTGTTGAGTGAAGGCAAGAACAGGAACAGGCTTCCTCGCTACATGATGATACACATAAAGGTAATACTATAAACAATGTAGATAGAATTCACACAAATCTGATTTTATTAGAAGTTTATTGCAGTCACTGGAAATAAAAGAAAGAATGGGGAACACAGATGAAAGAAGGAGAAAGTAATTGATTTTGAGAGATACTGTATTCTACATCAACTCCTTCTACTTCCCTACCGAGAAAAGAAAGAAAAATTATCCTTTGCTAATAATGACAACCACATTATCAAAGCAAAAATGAAGCAAACTTTCAGAAACATTTTTAAAGCACAAATGGCAAACATATTTTATAGAACCACAGAAGTCAGAGTCTAATGTAATACAGTTATTTAATAAACAGAGGCAGCCAGACTTTGGCTTTATTTTTATTCAACAAATTCAGCTAATCTGCCAAGAATTAATGACTCCAATGTCAGGTGTTCATAGTAATAATCCCTTTTTAGGTCCCTAGCTCCTAATGGTTGTCAAGGTAAATAAAGGCCAAGGAAATGAGTGCATAAACTTTGTGGTATTTTTAAATGTCACCTCTATAGGGAATAATATTCTATATATCTAACCAATCCCTATATATTTTCTTTTAAAACACCTAAAAAGGCATGTATTGAGTCTCTTTCATTTTCATGGTGCTGAGAGAATTGAATGAATTATATTTTCATTCCTAATAGACTCTCAGTTTATTTTAGAATTCAATTTCCCTTAGAAAAAGAAATATGCAAATCTTAATTAACCTAGTAATAGAAACTAATTACAGAAGTTTTCCCTATAAGAAATTATGTTCAAATTCAACATGCTACACAGTAAAAGAAATGGTGAGTACCCTCAAGGAATTCATAGTATAAGGGAGATGATGTAGTTTTACAGTGAAATAGAATTTAAACTGAATATTAAATGATTTCTAAGAGTGGATAGACAATGAGGAAGTATAAAGATGACAGAGAAAGAGTATGAGCAAAGCCATGAGTATGCATGTTCAATGATTTTTCAAGAGACTTTGAGGTTTACATATTTTATATTTATGCATATTTCATTATCCAATGTGTTTAAGCACACCAGGAGTTAAAGGGACTATATTGAAAAGAATTAAGTACTTTGAAACTTTAAAGGCCCCTTAGCAAATCTATCCATGTCTCAAAACCTCTAGTAAGTAACATAGTCCTACCCTCATCCCTTCTCTTTACAATAGTAAGTTCCTCTATATTTCTCTCAAATTCATTCCTTCCCAAAGTTCTGAAGGCATTGCTTCCCATCTATATAATTTATTACCTGATAAAAGTGACTAGGCATTATAGAATATTTATTGTTTCCTTAAACCTATCATCAGTCTCTGATACTTAAATTCTTTAGAGATACTTGACACTAATCATAACTCTCACTTCAGGAATACTGGACCTAAGTAACTCAGGGTAGAGTCCTCAGTAAATGGTTCCTTCTGTTACCCTCAAATGGTCTCAGCCAATGATGTCCCAATCCTGAGAACTACTTTAAGCCTTCATATTTCCATGGTGCTAATGGATTGTTTAAAATCTTTGTTAATATCCTCTGTGTTGTTAAGAGTTAAGGAGAAAACTATCTCCTTTCCGTGATCCCATTGTTAATACTACCTCTCCCTTTGTGCTTATGTTTATATAATCATTTTTACAAATTTTTGAAAGAAAAATATTTTTTTAAATTTATCTAATGATATCTTATTAGAGCTTCACAAGAGTCTTGTGAAGCAGAAAGGGCAGATATTATCACCATATTACAGATGAGAAAACAACTTCAAAGCCATAAAGTGTCTTTTTCAAGATTACACAGGAAAGAAAGGGTATTAAGTCTTACTAGTATCAATCAGTTGCAGAAAACAATCATACCATTATTAAAACTCCTTCTCACCGGTGTTTTGGGGAACCAGAAGTAATAGAGATATAGTCTTGGCTATTAATCTGGTCCCAGAAATATTGGATCAAAATTATATCCCCTCTTCTAAAAGCAAGAGTAAATTTGAGAATTCTGATAGATATGAGAGAGTTGTTAATGTAGTTTGTTGTGCTTCTCCAAACTTAATGGATATTGTTCATTATTCATGATAAAACAGGACAATTTCCAAAAATGGATTATTTTTTCTCAAATAGGACTTGAAATACATTGGGGAATTTCTACAAAGTGCCCTTAAAGAGGAAGGAAGCAATGGCCAGAGTGAGCACATGTTTTCTTAAGAGCATTATGGAAAATAGAAAATAACTTCACTTAAAGCAATTAAGTAGTTTTGAATATACTATTTTTTGATGAAACAAGTAATGATTTTGGAAAGTTAATCACATGTATATGGCAATATTTATATTCCAAGAAACTCTAGGTGTCAAAAATAGCTAGTCATGTGTTGGAGATCCAGAGCTCAAATATCTGGCAGCCTCACCTATCTAAACACAGCTGACAGAGCCAGGAAGGAAGCAAAATAGTCCTGAATTGCCAAAATAGATGTCATAAAGTCCATAAACTAAAACCCATACACTTTGTTCCATAGGAGAGTTTCCCTTTTCAACACACATCCTATCCAAATAAAATAAAACAAGCAGGCTTTTACTCATTTTTGGTAAGTCAAAGCTCTATTTTAACTAACTTGGTAGTGCATTTGCAAAGCCACAAAAGATTAGAAAGACCTAATCAAAATGATAGGGACTGCTTAAGACAGGCCTACTGACAATGACAAGTGAGAACTTATAGCTGGAAAAGGTAGAGATATAAGTATTATAGACATAATCAAAAAGAAGAAGAAATGAAAAAAATGGGGCCATTCTAATGTAGGTGAAAACAAAGCTAGAGGTTTTAATAACCCTGAGCAAAGAAACATATACCATACAATACTGATGTTTGTAATAATGACCCTCAGTGATCCTGAAAACATGCATTAAGTAATAACCTTTCTTAAATAACAATAATAATAATACTGAGAATAACAGCAAACATTTATAAAGTGATTTAAGCACTTTCTAAAAATTATGTTGCATACCAGTCACATCTAGTGCAGCTGCCATTATGTACAGATAATAAAACTGAAACCTAAAGAGAATTAACTTGCCTCAAATCACATAGCTTAACAGTGGCCAAACTAAACTGGGATACTTATCCTCTGAATCTGAATTAGTGCTTCTTTCATATACCACGTTCCTTTGGTTAACACAAACTGCTTCACCCATATGAAAAATTGTATTTTTGATATATTTGCAACTAACATGATGTTTTAAATGTTTAGGTATTTAGAGAGCTACATGATCATTTCTACAGAGTACAACTGTCCAAAATACAGATCTTTTTCAGATTTCAGAAAACCTAGGTTTTACCTTATTTTCATGCCCTGTTGTAAATATGAGCTGTTTTGTTTGGACAAGCTATCATTACAAACAATTCGCACAAATAAAACATCATGTGAATTTCCAGTCTTATAAAGGCAAAAACAAAAATGCTTTATAATATTGTAAGACCAACAGCTACTATTTATTTATTTAGTTTTGGTACCAGGGATTGAACTCATGGGTACTTAACCACTGAGCCACATCCCCAGACCATTTTTATATTTTATTTAGAGACAAGGCCTCACTAAGTTGATGAGGCTAACTTTGAAGTTGTGGTCTTTATGCCTTAGCCTCCCTAGCCACTGGCATTACAGGTGTGCACCACCACACTAGGCAACAATTGCTTTTTAAAATGCCATTTTAATGAAGACCAAGGTATAGATTTTGTTTGTTAATTTTCCAGTGGAAATAATTTGTATTATAAAATGATGTAAATAGAGTTTTTAATGGCAAATTTTCATTCTGTATTTAGGATAATATTCAAGTCATCAATATATCTTTATCTGTGAATAATGGGGTCCAAACAGATTTTAACAGTCAAAAAAAACTGTACAAATGCCTGGGATTCTTCATTAACTCATTAGTTTAAACAAATGTATTAAGTAAAGTTGTGACTGAGGTTGTGTATGGAATAATCAATCTCGATAGAAAATGGTACAGACAGTTTTAATTAACAAATATAATAAAATATTTTCTGAATTAGTGCCATTATATAAAAACATGCATCACATTACATGCACTCAGCAGATATTCAAGCAAAGAACCTTTATTTAAACCCTTAAAACTCAAGTTTGCAAAATGTATTAAAACACAATTTTGTGTTTAAGGTATACGCATTGTGGGTGAATCCCATGACACTTTTGAGATATTTGGGGTGCTTCTGATTTGTTTCCCCAAGGAGAAAAAAGTCTCATAGATATTTCAAGTTATAAGGATATTATTTCCTATAATTAATACTAATATCAAAAAGCTTTTCCTCTTCCATCTACCTTGCTCAAGTAGTGTATTATTCCTAAAAAAAAAGTTAAGGCCATATTGTTCTCATGTATACTTTTCAAAGCTTGAATAATTAACTCATATTCACTTGTTTTCAACTTATATTTTGTTTCTCTCAAGAGAAGGTGAATAAATTGGACCCATTGCTGAGAAACAGGTATGCAACTTATTCAGCTGCTCATCAATTTGCGTAAAGAAAGATTTTCTCACAAGGTCCATAGAACAAAATGTTTTCATTTAGACAGATAATATAGGCATGAATAATTCCTTCAGAAGGATCATTTTGAGGATGTAGGGAAGGGTGCCATGTTGCATGAAGACACTCAAACTCCATTTTTAAGAAAAATCTTCACAATGATATAGCTAAATTGCTAGAGCATATAGGTGACCCTAGCTGATTGTTTGACTACATTGTCTTGGAATCATCCAAACATTCAAGTGAGATAGTTTGAAGATCCTCCTCCCTTTGACGAATTTCCAAAGCATTGTCCTTGCATCTCACACATGACTGAAGAACCGAGACTCCATGTTCTGAAAATTGATCACGAAATTCTGAAGTCATAAAATAATATACGACTGGATCAAGACAACAATTCAGATTTGCAAGACACAGGGAAATGATGTGGAAACATAGAGTGCTCTTAATGAAGGAACAATTTGAAAAAACATGTTGCTTTACCATCATAAAGAATGGGAAGTTGAGATGGTAAGGAGTGAAACACACAATGAACACCACTGCACACATCAGGACCATCCTCAAAGCTTTTTTCCTTTCTTTTGTATTCTGAGGGGGAACTTGGAATTCCTGTAAAGATTTTCTTGTTTTCCAGGTGCAATAAGTTATAATTATAACAGGCAATACAAACCCTCCAAGTTCAGCTGCAGTTACCATACCAATGGAAGAAGCCATGCTAATGTTGTGAAGCCCTAAATCAGCAAAGCAGAATTTGGTGTTCTTGGCTAAGTTCGCACTCCTCAGGATGGGAAGTGGCAAACAGGCAGTCCCCACGATGACCCAGATGGCAGCACTGATGCCCACATCATACCTACGCTTCCAGTTTCTGGCCCTGAATGGCTTGAGGAGAAAGAAGCACCTCTGCAGGCTGATGCACGTCAGGAAGAAAATGCTGGCATACATGTTGAGATACTTCAGGTAGAAGCACAACAGACAAAGGGCCCTCTGGAAAGGCCAGTGGTGATTGATGTAATAGTAAATCCGGAGGGGTAAGGACAGCACATGAGCCAGGTCAGCCACAGAGAGGTTGATCATAAAAATGATGGCTTTATTTTTCTTGCTGATGAAGCGGCACAGGACCCACAAGGCTGCGCTGTTGGCCACAAGACCAGGGATGAATATCAGGATATAGGTGGTTGCATAGAGGGAGTCCTGAAATGGCATTTGAAGATCAGTGCAGTTTGCTCTTGTACTGTTTGTGTTGTTATTTCCCATCTTGAGGACTTATACTCCTTCCTTAAGAAAAACATTAGAGTGATGACTTCTGCAGTAAATAGAACAAAAACAGAGTCAAGGCCATGTCAGTTTATGTTTGAATATGCAAATATATTTGTTCTTTATCACAGAAGTTTTCAAGTATGAATTTCTATAAATTCAAAAGATCTCATCTATGTAAACAGAAAATATCATGTCAATCCACAAAGGAATGACAGGAGTGAGAAAGACATTTTCAGGAATCAAAAAGATTAGTACTTTGGTAGTACCTTAAGTCAGATTTTCTCCTTGAAAGGGAGTAATCAAACTCCTAGAGCTAACCAACCAACAGGAAAGACCTCATTGCAAAACAGCCCCTGGACATACATTCCAACACTGTTTTGAGGTTACACATTTCAGTTTTGCAGTCATCTCCATCTGCATATCCAAAGTTTAAAATTTAACTGAGTTCTCTATCACCAACCCTGGGAGAAAGAAAACTTAATTCATTTTTTTACTGCTTCTTTATGAAGGATTAGATGATGGTAAGGTGAGTCTATAAACCTTTGTAAATGAGACATGGGATAGGGGCCTTGGTATGACAGTAAGAGCTGAAAAGATCACCAAATCTTGGGAGGATAGGGGCTTGGAATGACAGTACAACTCAGGTAACTTTTGCCTCTCAGAATTTGAGGGAAAAATTAGTCTTGCTTGTATGATGTAGCACTTTTCAGAAACTCTTGTAATTAAAGTTCTGCGTTTATTAACAGTTTTATGGTAGCTCAGACATTCACGTTTATTGAGACTAACATTGTCACCATTTGAGGCAAATACCTGAAGGATTAAGTGTATCTGGTAGTAGATACAGCAAAAAAGGGCTATGTATCCTTCATCTCTCAGGGCAACTCCAGTAAAAAGTTATTAATGTCAATGATTACATTTTTAATGATCATAATTGTTAGAAATTTCTTCCCTCTAATGAGTCAAAATCTATTCCCCTGTCATTTCAACCTAGTTAGGTCTGTCAAGGCCAAATAAAATAAAAGTCTATTCCCTGTTACACACACAAGCTCTCCAAACATCTAAAGATAGCGATCATGTCCTCTCTTAAATCTTCCTTATCCAGGTTAAACTCTCATTCCTCGAATGACATTGTCCTTGTTCTTAGTTTTGCTTTATGTCAGAATGTTATTGCTTTTGGCCAAAAACCATTACAGTATGTAGCTTACTTTACTTTTGAAAATTAAACTACCAAATGGTTGGTATTTTTTAGGAAAATATTATTTATACATCTGATGGCAGAAACAAAAGGTAATTGAGATTTCAATACTGCTTTGTGCTTTTTAATTGCCTGCAGAGGCAGTTATTTTGGTAGACATTTTATGGAATTAAAGGAAAAATTAGATAGCTTTAACATTAACTACCTAACACTCAAGTGCAATTGTAAATAAACATTTTCAACAATTCTTGAAATATAAACTTGTAAAACAATATACGATCTAAGCGTGTTTATTCAACCTTAAACACAACCAATTAAAAATGTAAAAATGAGTAACTAAGAACAGAGTAGGGTCGAAGAGCATGAGAAGAAGATTAACATTAAACAGGGATGAGAGGTGGGAGGGAAAGGGAGAGAGAAGGGAAATTGCATGGAAATGGAAGGAGACCCTCAGGGTTATACAAAAGTACATACAAGAGGAAGTGAGGGGAAAGGGAAAAATAATACAAGGGGGACAAATGAATGACAGTAGAGGGGGCAGAGAGAGAAGAGGGGAGGGGAGGGGAGGGGAGGGGGGATAGTAGAGGATAGGAAAGGCTGCAGAACACAACAGACACTAGTATGGCAATATGTAAATCAATGGATGTGTAACTGATGTGATTCTGCAATCTGTATATGGGGTAAAAATGGGAGCTCATAACCCACTTGAATCAAAGGGTGAAATATGATATATCAAGAACTATGTAATGTTTTGAATAACCAACAATAAAAAATTAAAAAATAAATAAATTAATAAATAAATTAAATAAAAAAATGTAAAAATGCATTTAATTATATACAGCACATACAGTGCCAAACAACCTATTTGATGCCTTTATTTACTTAACTGACAGTTCACTGAAATAAAACAACCAGGTGATTCAGGCAAACAACTACTTTGATTATTTTTCACTGAGTTGACTCTGTTGCTGAATTGCTCAATTAGTTTAGTAAACTATAAATATTAAACTGGGTGGTTTATCCATTGGACTAACTAAAATAATTGATATTGTTTTCTGTATGTTCACTGTAAATTTGAAAAAGTCATACACTTGGACAAGAACTAGTCTTGAAATAAAATTAAGAAAAAGTTTAATACACATGATCATCTTTGATTTTGTTACAAAAATGATTAGTGATTACTGAATGCTTATTTTTGGCCAGGTGCTATTATAAGTATTTTATGTACACTCTATTAATCTCTGACAGAAATCCTTTGAAATAATAATATATTATTGCTATTTTATGGATGAGGAAACCTAGGCCCCAAGAAAGGCAAGGCTCACTTTTTCCATGAAGACTTTCTTGAACTCTCCAAACCACAAGTCACTGGCATCACAGTATCCACAGCTCTGATTATTTCTTTTAGGAAGAATGAATTTTTAATACATCCAACATGATGTGGTGGCTTACTTTTTCATGGGGTCTATTTTATTGCCCTAAAAAGATACTAATCTTCTGGCCTCCAAAGTAAAGTGTCTTGAGTACATTATAGGTCAACTAATTATTTGTTGGGTGAATAACTGTATAATAGTTGGATGAATCCGGGAGGCAGAAACTGTCTCAGAGGAAAATAATCAGTGAAAGGGAATAAGTGACTGGGGGATTAAAATTAGTTGTGATGTTTGACTTGACCACCAGGTGTCATAAGTATACCAACGTTCAAATATCTTTTGACATTTAATAGAATTTGTTTTAAAATTTCATTAAGGGAGAAATAAAGGGAGAGGAGTACCAAGAAGCATACCGTGTAACTTCAGAAACAGAATTTTTAAAGAGTATTTTAGAGAGTTTACATTTATTTTATTTTTCTCAGTTTCTATACTGCTTCATATACTTCTATAGAGACAGCTTGGCTTCTAGATACATTATGGATTTTTAAAATATTCAAGTTGTTAAAGACCATTAAGATCTTCTGATTCAGTAACTTTTATATGAGGAAACCAAGCCCAGAAAAAAAAAGAGAATGAAATGTTCAAATTCACATAAAAAAAAATTAGTGGCAAAGGCTGAACCAGGATCTCTTGCCTCCCACTACAGAGCAATTTCTACTTTTCCAGGAACTTCTAAGATGAAAACCATATTTTTGTAATTATCTAATAATAATACAAATGTTCAGAAACAAACCAATGCCAGATTTTATACCACTAACCTTGACAGTGAACTGTTACAGCAAGAGGGATTAGTTCCTTCCAAATATTCTAGGACAAATACAGTATTTTGAAAATGAATATTTCTATTCCCTAATGATAAGATTGTGTAAGAAGGCTTCTTAGGATCTTAGATTATTTTGTTTTTAAGCTTTTATTGTTTCTTCACACAAGAAATGTCTCACATTAGAAAAAGAGATTAAAAACAACAAATTTTATTAATATAAACTATATTTCAACCTGAGACTCCCATGTAGTCTATTACACACACACACACACACACACACACACACACACACACAAAACAGATTTTTAAAAAATGTAGTTGTAGATAGACAGCATGCCTTTATTTGTTTATTTTTTTTATGTGGTGCTAAGGATCGAACCCAGGACCTCACACATGCTAGGCAAGTGCTCTGCTACTGAGCTGCAGCCCCAGCCCCCAACCCAGATTTTACATTGTTAACATTTTGAGGCATAACCTCTCGAATTTAATTTTTCTTCTATGTATATAAATCCATATACATACTAAATATGATTTATATGCACATCTTTTTTATAAAGCTTTATTTATTCAATCATAATTAATATAAATATCTCTCCATATCAGCATCTAAGTAATTATTTTAATGAACAATTAAAATTCCACCAGAATTATAATACCATGATTTATTAAACTAGTAGACATTGAGGTAGATTCCCATTTTATCACTATCAGAAACAATAGTGAAAATATTGGTAAACATCCTACTGGGCCTGGTGGTACAAGGCTGCAATCCAAAAACTCAGGAGGGTGAGGTAGGATGATTAAAAGTTCAAGGCCAGAGGCCAGTATGGGCAATGTAGGGAGAAAAATAAAAAGGGCTCATGAGGTAGATCAGTGTTGAGTGCCCCTAGGTTCAATCCCTAGTGCCACACAAAAAAATTGTAAACATTCTTTTTATAGATAGATATAGATGTATTTAGTTGTAGATGGACACAATACCTTTATTTTATTTATTTATTTTTATGTGAAGCTAAGGATCAAATTCAGTGCCTCACTCATGCTAGGCAAGCACTCTATCACTGAGCTACAGCCCCAGCCCTAAACGTTCTTATATACTCATTTTTGTACATTTGAACAACTGTTCCCTTTGAATAAGTTATTAAAAGTGGAATTGCTAGGCTGTTGATGTGTAATGACAAATTATTCTGCAGAAATACATCCCATGTGAAATTCCAAAAATGCTCTTTTCAAGAACATCACAATGTCAAATCTAGATATATAAAATTTTGTCTATCTGGAAGATCAAGTATAATGTAGAGAATTGCGATTCAGTCTTAATTTTTTCAAAGGGCAAATGACAAAATTTGGATATTTATGTTGTGCAATGTAATGTTTTGATGTGTGTATACATTGAGGAATGTTGAAACCAAGCTAATTAACATGTCAATCACCTCAAATACAAATCATTTTATTTGAGAACACTTAGCAATTGTCAAGTATACTGTACATTTTTATTAAGTATATAATTATGCTATGCAATAGATCTCCAGAATTTTGGGTTCAATCTTTAATCAGGCTCAAAAATAACTTCTATGTTGTCACAAATAAATCCAATAAATTTTACCATGTCCACCTCAACACCACGGTTCTTGAATTTAAGCCTCAGAATCATCTAG